ATTAAAAAAAAAAAAGAAATAATAATAATAATAATAATAATAATAATAATAATAAAAGCTTTTATTGGACCTTGATCTAGAGTTAGATGTAGAGTTGACTCCAAATTTATTGAAAATAAGACTTGGCTTGTCATTCATTATGACGGTAGTATTATCATTACAGTGTTTTTGCAATCTAGGCATTGATGAATTGTTACCAGGGGTGGTAATCCAGCTATATTTATTGTCTATTTTGGAGAAACAATTATCCCCTTAATGAATCCACCAATTAAAAAGCTTGTTCTTGTATGAATCCATGTATAATTACTGCTTATTGTTAATCAAGAAACAATTGATCCACTTTATAGCATCCACCATTTTGCAAACTTGTTCCTAGTAAAATTATTGAAGCAGATATATTCTGAATCTGTTCTTGTTCATCTCAAATGTCTGAGTCACATAGTGTTGAAATGCTTGAACAATACCCTAATGCCAAATCAAGATCAGGCTATCTCCCCCTTTTAGCTTATTATCCTCAAATGTCTAGATAAAGTTTTTATTAAAAGATTTTAGTTATCATCATTTCAGTACTCAACAGCAAATGTAAATGATGAAGATCTATAGCTTTTTGCTGTTGTCAACTCTGGGGTGCAATAATTCTTCCTGTTATAATGGGGCATATGACTGCTGAGATTTTGGCAAGACGGTAATGGTTGCAGAGGAAAGGCGTATAGAGGATCCCATTTGCTTTTTTCTAACGGTGAACAAATGGATCTAAAAAAAAAATGGTTTTTGGACTCTGTTTTTTAAAAAATAAAAAATGGTGAATGGGGGTATACAAATAAGAACAGATAAGAGCCTACAAAAAGTTAAGAAACAAAATCACTACTCTAGTATTGCAATTTGCAATCAAACAGACCCCAAATTTTCTAAAACATGAAGGCAATGGAAAAAACAGTTGTACCTATATTAACTAGCTTACTCTCTTTAAGTACATGATATGTATGAAATAAGTACGTGGTGTTTAGAATTGCAGCCTGCTATTGTTGCACATGGGTATACTACGGTGGCCACTTCAGGGAATGTGTTATTGATGGCTTTGTACCTGAAATGACCTCTCTTCTGGATAAACTGTTTTTGTCCGCATTTTAGGTAGATGTGGAAGGACTATTCCATGGGCTTTTGTTTTTTGATGCATTGTTATTCTTTTCCACGATCTCTTGCATTTGGTTCTGAGTTGGTCATTTTATTTGTGTTAACTAATGTTTTCAAGCTATTCAAGTACAGGTCATGTTCACCAGTGTTCTTCATAAGCGTCTACCAGCTGAAGTTGGCATAAGTGTAGTATGTGTTTCTCCTGGAATTGTCCAAACCAATGTTGTAAGTTTGTGAATGCCTAGCTCTTTGTCTCAGTATCTGGAATCATTCTGCGTGTTTGTTTATTCTAAATGGGCATAGGATATGTCTGTGATACATGGTTTCCAACACTTGGGAATTGCCGAATTGGTGCAAATTAGAACACTGGGTTTCAATTATTACTTCTGATGTATGAGGTTTTTCAAATAGCTAATATGTATATTTTCCAAAAATTGAGATAATGTTATAAAATGCAGGCCAGGGATCTTCCAAAGATTGTCCAAGCTGGTTATCGTTTAATACCCTATTTTATATTCAGTGCTGAAGAAGGTTAGTCTTCTCAAGTTTTAGTACATTTTCTTGTTTCATAATTGTTGGAAATTTATTTTTATTTGAATCTCTAGATATCATTTTCATGCGTAAAGTTTTTTGCTTATTTTGATCTAAAAACTTCTCCAGTTAAATAATTGTTACAGAGCATTAGAAAAATCCTAAAGTTTTGCCTGCAAATAAAGTGGAACATAATCGTATTGTTCCTTTTGGCACCTGCCACTACCACTGATGAAGTCCTTGGCTGATTGAATAAGATTGAATATTGAATTTAGTTTTGAGCTTGTTTTACATATTCCAGACAGGGCAATAACCTTGGGCTCGTAATTAATCACAAATGCACGAGGCTTTGGACAACGAAATCATAAATTTTCACTCGTTCATTACACATTCTCTCTCTCTCTCTCTCTCTCTCTCTCTGGCTTCTTCCAATTTGGATCAACAAAATTCTCTGGAATATATATATGTATATGTGGGCCACCACGCCATAAGCCAGCCTATCCCATTTTCTGGCCTTTCGCGTCAGAACTTACATGTCCACCTGCCAAACCTTGATGAATCTCTGCCATGATCGTCCCTCGTTGTTGAGGGTTACTGTACTGATGGAAAATTTCATTCAATCTGCTCCCTATCCATTGAAACATTGAGAGGAAGCTACCAAATCAAATCCTTTCATGTACATCGCCTCAGAATGACAGTATTCATCCTCAAAAATAGGATCGGGGTCAATCTGACTACATATTTTTTGGAGGTCAGCTCATGCTTTTTGTATCACATATTCAGCACTGGGAGAAGCTGACACATTCCCGATGAGAAAAGTGAAAGGACCAAACGTGTGTTGAAGCTTGAGAGAGAGAGAGAGAAATATAAACGAAACTCTGAATTGGCATATGCGATTATCTGGATATGATTGATGAATTTGTTATTTAAAATTTGATTTTATGAAAAATATGTTTTCTGTTGAACTTGGTCTGAATTAGCTACTTTTGTAATATGGGCTCTTGCAGGTTCTAGAAGTACACTATTCGCGGCCACAGATCCCGAAGTTCCTGAATATTGTGAGATGTTGAAATCGGATGAATGGCCGGTCTGTGCCTTCATTTCTCAAGATTGTCGTCCCACAAACCCTTCTGAAGAATCTCATAATGTCGAAACATCGTATAAAGTGTGGGAAAAGACACTTGAAATGGTGGGACTTCCCTCAGATGCTGTAGAGAGACTTATAGAAGGTGAAGAAGTTGAATGCAAATACGGAGCATCCTAGTAGGAGTAATGCTACATGTACAAATTGGCGTTGATCCATGTGAGATGGCATTGTAATCCTCTTCACATCTTGCATATAGCATTATTCATCCTAGTAGTTTACTTTTCATACAAGAGTAGGAAACCCCCTAAAGCTAATCATTTTATGTTGTTCACAGTCATCTCGTGTTATAACTAATGCCGACTCTGATTGTTTATTAATGTACAATCATCTTTGATCATATTGCCGGTATCCGAACATGTTTGTCTAACGTCAAAGAGCATTTTTCACGTCCATAAATATCATCATTTTCCTTCCAAGTCTCCAGTCGAAGAGTGTTGGAATTTTTTTTTTTTTTGTAAGGATGACGTGGACAACAAACTCAAACATGGATTTGCATGAGATATTGTGTCACACTTACTTCTACATATATGTTCGGCGTTCTTTTCAGAGCAACTCGTCTTGCCTTTTTCTTAACCGCATGTCTTTTGGATATGTTCGAAGACATAAGGAGCATATTTTTGTTGTGCGATTATTGTAGATGGTCTTTTTTCTTTTTTTCTGTTTTTTTGCCGTATGTTATGCTTTTGCTTCATATTTCATATCTTGGTCACGTTAAATTTGAAGTGAGTCATTCACAGCAATTTTACGTAGATTTTTCTCTGGGCGAACCTAAGAAGAATAGAATAGAAGGGTGGCGATATTTTACTAACGTATGAAAATGGGTTACTCAAAAACCATCCAGAACAGAGAAAGAGGAACTATTGAAAGAAATGCAGGATGCATCATGCATTATACATTATTACAACTTATGACAATCCTCGTAAAAAAGATTACTGATTAATATTTTGCTATCAATAATTACGGATACTTTCGCATCATATTTCTGGATTTTACCTTAGAATTTTGCAGACAATAAGAAAAATGCATGCACGAACAATGAGAGAACTTTGCATCGCTGAAATCCTGAATTCCGTCGGTGAAAGATTTCGGTGACACATTTGTGGTCAGAAATTTCATAGTTATAGTGGTGTGGGTAACAATACTGTAAATATCATAATAGCATGCTTCTATAGGGATGACAATTCGAACTGTGAAAACCGAAAACCGCGGTTAACCGAACCGAATGGGGCGAAAAAAATCGAACCGATGGTGCAATGGAGTGGTTATAGTTTTGATTTTAACGAACCGCTTCATTTAGGGGCGGGTATGGTATTTAGCTATGGTGAACCGAAACGAACCGATTACCCGTTAAAAAAAAATTTGGACAAATGGGCTTTCCATTTTTATTTCTCAAAATTAATTAGGCAATTTTTTTTTTGGACTTTTCAAAATCCTGGCCCAATTAATATTAACTAAACTTTAACCCAATAACTCAAGCTCAGTAGCCCAATTCAATGTCAATGTACCCTACACGTAATTAAAATGGAAAAGTTCATAGATCAGATATTAACTTTGACACTTGCAAAAATTAGGTGCTAAAGTTTTAAAATTGCAAAAATCAAATTTTTACTTTTTATTAATTAATTAAATATTTAATTGTGCAATTTGGTCACAAATATCTTACTAATTAGTTAAAAATAATTTTAGGTCATAGCTTATCAAAAAATTTATAGGTCACAATTTTTTTAGATTAAAAATTCTATAGGTCACATATTATTTCGAGGTCACAAATTTAAAATTGATGATAAATAAATGTGTAGGTCCAATACCGCCTAAATTGATGCTAAGTATAAATAATGTTATGTCCGTATTTGTTAGGATTTAAAATCTAATTTT